GGGAGCAGCGGTGCACTGTAGCAGTGCGCCACCGGGCCGGCCCACTACCCCCAATTCTAATCTTTTCGAATCACTTACCAATTTTCTGATGCCATGTAAATGGAATTATACAGCTTCTTTCACCTAGCAGGGTGCATTTGAGGTTCTTCCAAGTTGTGTTTATCAGTAGTATTCCTTTCTTTTGGTGACTAGAATTCCATTGCAGCCTGTTTATCCATTCCCCAGTGTAGGAATGTTTGGATTCTTTCCAGGGTTTTTTTTGCTGTTGTTGTTGATGGCTAATAAAGCCACTATAAATATTTATGTACAGATTTTTATCAGAACATAGATTTTTATTTCATTTGGGTAAATATCAAGGAGTCAAATAGTTTCTAAGCAACAGTGTATAATGCAGCTCCTAGGCTGGCCTGGAATACTTCAGTGGATTCAGCAGCTGGTAAGGAGACAGGAGCCCAGATGGATGTACATGGCTTATTGCTTATGGCACAGCAGGCAACATGAACTTCGTGTTTTTATTGGTTCCTCTTTCATTCCCAAGTCCCATAGGGCAGGCCCATGTGCATATTGTGCACACAGGGTTTGTATCACAGCTAAGGGGCACTGAGCTTAGAAAACTGATTTTTTTTAAGGGGTGTATTAGTTTGCGTGTGTTGCCATAACAGACTGGGTTGCTCAAACATTTATTTTTTCATTGTTCTGGAGACTAGAAGATCAAGATCAAGGTGTTCATGGGTTTGGTTTCTTCTGGGGCCTCTCTCCTTGGCCTGCAGATGTTTACCTTCTCTCTATGTCCATACATGGCCTTTCCTCTGGAAAGGACACCAGACAGATTGGCTTAGGGTGCACCCTAATGGCCTCTTCGTAACTTAATTACCTCTTTAAAGGCCCTATCTCTACAGTCCCATTCTGAGGTACCAGGGGTTAGGGCTTCAACATGTGAATTTTGGGGGAATACAATTCAGTCCATAACAGGGGGTATTAAATTTTTAATTCGTTTTTGTCCTGAAAACAAACGAGATTTCTAGAGAAGAGGCAGATTATTATTTTCACTCTAAGCAGTCACTGTATCTCAGCATATCTCAGCAGTAATGCCATGCCCATTTCCCCATTCAGGTCGATGCAGTGAGGACCAGATGTCTCCTGCATGTGTAAAGGGGATTTCTTGCACTAAGACAGGAACCTTGAAATGATGAATCTAGGAGTTTATGTAGGACAGCTATCCAACTTCACCCTCCCCTCCTGAAATAAGGAGAGAAATCTAGTCTCTTAATATATCATTTGGAATGTAAAGGAATGGCTCTAAGTTTCATCTTCTGTTGATGTGTAAACACGTAACTGGGGATATAAGTCTCTCTGGAAGTCTCTCACTGGCCAGTTATCCTTTAACTTCCAAAGCTTGTACTTTAACTCAGGTTCCATTTTTTATTTTTTGCTCACTTCAGCTAAAGGCAGGGACAAATTTCATACCACCTTTGTAATGGAGTAACTCCCATTGTAGATAAAACTGTCAACATAATATATAACTGAGGGCTACGTGATCGACCAAAGGTGTTCTGTTAAACGCTCAAATGTTTCTTATAACTACCTCTGGGTGCAAATCACACTGTTTTTGTGATTAATTTCTGCCTTTCCCACAAGAAGCAGATTCCCAAGGGCGAACATGCCACTCTTAGAAACAAAAGTTTACAATTGTTGGGGGCCTCTTCAAGAAGAAAATATATCAGTCAGGCAGCATGTCCCCTGTGTGGTTTGCCAGCTGGTTAGCCTTAAGGCCCCCAGTTTAGTCCTTGCTTTCAGAGAGACTGATTGAGAGGACTCTTTCAGAGAGAGGATCCTTATTCAGGGGTCCTGCTTAACCAGTTCGTTTTCCCTAGTGGAGGACATTTGGAGGCCTTCTGTATTGATGGTGCAGGAGCTGTGCCATGCCCTCCTTACTGGCTCATGGTTAGAGCCATAAGGTGGAGGATGGTAAGTAGGCTCAGTAGTTACTTTACTTTCAAAGTTTCCAGCATTGCGTGAGAGCTGCACCAGGGCATTTTCCTTTGGGGCAACAGAGACCCCTAGAGTAGTCCTGAAAGGCAAAGATTGTTAATACTCCTCCTCCTCTACATCTCTTGGGGCCTAAGGGGTTCTCCTTTCAAGTTCTGGGATTCCTTCTCCAGGTGTTAACCCCTCCCCACCCAGGTGTTGGGGATCTTTCCCTAGGTGCCTTTTTTTTTTTTTTTTTTTTTTGTATTCTTTCTGTTGTTTATAAAACCAGTGTGTCTCAATCTAGGAAGTGTAATTTCATATTTTTTCTGGTCATCCCCTACTCTCACTCAGACCTTTCTTCTAGTTGGATCAAGTGCAAGAGGCACAGAAGTACCTGCTTTGAGTTTAATTTGATTAATCTCGTTTAATCTGATCTAGTTCTCTTGATTGCTTTGTGTCTTGATGGTGTGTTTTTTCTTGCCTTTTTTGTATGTCTCCTAATATGTTGTTAATTGTACATCTTATGTGGGAAAGTGAAAACTGAGGTAAATAGCTTTAATTTCTGGAAACGTGTAGGCCTTTGTTTCTGCTATGTGGAGTATACTGTAAAGCAAATATATTTCACAGGCCCTAGTTCCCTGTAGTTTCAGGTTTAGCCTAACCTTTTGAAATTACATATAGAAATGTTAACCTTGCAAAAGACAGGAAACTTTCCTTAGGCTAGGGTCTCTGATGTGGATGGAGAGTTGTGTCACAGTAAGGTTGCTGGCCCAAAGACAGACAAGTTACTTGATTGATATGTAAAAATGCTGGGGAAGCTGCTATAGGGAAAGACAGTGTTTGCTAAGATCGAACTTTTGTTGGTAGATCGACTTAACCCTTTTGCAAATTGCATTATGGAATGTCACTTTGTTATTTTATTGATGGTACCAGCCTCTACTGTTAAACTAAACTTAGTCATAATTCCACTATGTTCTTTTTCTGTAACTTCCTGGTCTGGAGAATAAATGCAGGGTGAGAACCCCAGTTTGTGGTTAATTTCCAAAAGGAAGGAATGCCTCTCTTTTGAGGGTTCTGGGAAATTAACCTCTTCAGGGTCTCTCACTGCTCGGAAGAAATGGGCTTTGAGTAATCCTTTTTGTAGCTCCATCACCCAGGGGAAGAAAGGTGACAAATCCGTGAGAGGCAAAGCAACACTGCTAGGCCTTTAGTGTGGTGCATTGAGTTAATCTAGTCAGGAGGAGAGCATTACTAGGTTACTTCAGTTATCTACAGGCTTCAGAATCTTCTAGAGTTACTTTGTACATAGGCTGGGGGCTGGTTGGCTACAGGGCTTTTCTCATAGTCTTCCACATCCTAAGTTTTGGGTCATTCCTTTGTGCTTTGCTTCAGATAAGGTCTCTCTCCATGCTCTAGGGCTTCTCTCTCAGTAGTAGACCATGTTACTTTTTCCTAGGTACTCATTAACCTTTGGTGGGTAAGTGTTCTCTGTTGTGATCACGCCTGTCTTAGCAGGCAGTAGGTCCCTGAGTGTTGAGAGAGGGACCTTCTCAGGGATCCTGCTCTGCCCCTGGCTGTATGTTTGGGCATGGTACCAGTATACCTTTTCCCACTCATCCCTAGCAGGGTGCAAGATGTTTCTTCTCTTTCCCACTTTTAGCCACAGTGGGTTTTCACCAAAGCTCTAAGACTTACAGGTTTGTTACCCTTCCTCCAGCATTTTAAGGCCTTTGTTCTGAGAGAAAGACTGGGAAAGATCCCAGCAGTGTTTCCTGCCATTCCTGCATTAATTGCCTGCCACCTTTACCCCACCTTTTGGCCTGAACCTTGTAAGACCTGTAATTGGGTGTGAGTCCTCCTCATATTTGCAGCTTCCAGGGGCCCCATGTGTTTTTACTAGCCCATACTTGGCTTTTAGCAGTTTTTAAAAATGTTAGGTGAGTTTTTCTTAGAGATGTCCGACAGCATTTGTCATCTTCCTTAGGTAAGCAAGTGCTTTCCTCCCATCTTTTATTGGATGCACCTCTCTTTCCTTAGATTTCTAGTTAGTTGATTGCCCTGTGACCTCAACTCTCTGCTGGGTCAAGAAAACTTTCAAAATTTTCAGGTTGTCCAACTTTTTGTTGTCACTCTTTCCAACTTTCTACCTCCTAAGTGGAACTATTTACCTTTGACTCTGTGTCACTATGTGTTTTGATAGTTATATTTTTATTTATTTTTGATTCCCATCTTATTAGTAAAGTTGATGTATAAGTAAAATTGGTTCCTGTCCTGTAAGTAAAATTGATGTATTTTTTGTTGGCTATATCAAAGTCTAGAGTGTTAGTGTGGGAGGTATGTATTAGAGGATCTACTTTTAAACTTTATTAAATAAAGTAGATTTCTGCATGGAAGTTTTCCAAGAGCTTAATATTATATTCATAGAATCATTAAATTTTAGAGCCAGAAGAAGTTGTAGAAACCAACCAGATTAAAAACTTCATTTTATCTGAGACTTTGATTAAATGACTCTTTTTTATTTAAACTAATAGAGCTGGTTAGTTACAGAAGCAGAACAAAGACTGAACTGTACTTGGGTCTTAAGTGTATTGATTTGTCCATGCGTTCCTTATTTATGAGGTTATCATTTTGTACTTTTAAATGTTTTTTTATTAGACTTTCATTCTTTTCTAGGAGGAAACCTCATGTTTTGGTTTGGTAGAGAACATATGTATTGTAGGTTAAAACGAAGCTGGGTAAAGTTGATCTAAAGTTCATCTTTATCTGTAAAATGAGGAATCGCTATTACTTAACTAATAGAATTGTTTAAGAAATTAAATTATGAACCTAAAGTATTTTTAGACCCTCTGATTTTTCTCTAGAAAAACTAATTCAGCATTATTTCATGTCTTAAAAATAGTTGAACACAGTAGTTTGACTTCTCAAAAAATGAAATTCTTTATTGCTTTAAAAAATTACTCTAATTTTCATTTATATCATGATATTATAATAAACTCCTTTGGCTCTTTGCAACTATTTTTCTCTCATTTCAGGGAAAACTTTCACTTATCTCTTCTTTAACTTATCATGGAAATGGAACTGCTGTCCGATTGAAGATCAGACTACAAGGTATATATAGTATGAACAGACTGCTTAGCTCTTTGCCTGTAATCTACAAATACGCAACTTTATACACACACACAGATGGTTAACAAATAATACATTCACAGTAGTACAAAAATCTGTGAATGAAAATTAGTCTTTCCCTTACTAAATTTTTTTTCAACATCCTTCTTCCCCCTCCCTTCTTTATTCTTCTTCAGACCCCTTTACCCTCATATCTACACTATTAAAATAGCTAACTAGTCTCCCTACTTCTAGTTTCACCAATGTGAACTAAACATTTTAGCAACTTAACTTTCTTAAAACTTTGATTTCAACATGCTAGTTTTTACATAGGTGTCCTTCTTACATAGCGAGGATTTTTTTTCTCTCTGGTAGCCCTCAAATAATCCTGGTAAGGTAGGAAGGGCTACCTTGCAACACTTGGGGACCAAAGTGGATCTCATCTGCAGCCTGTAATTGGTTTGAAGAATGGCGTGGAGCAGTGAATGGGAAACAGTCTGTGAACCACAACATTCTACAACTATTAAAAACCATCTATTTACTAGACACTGTTCTAGGTACTGGGGATATAGCAGGGACCAAAACTTAAGTTTTTGCCTTCATGGATTTTACATTTAAGGGAAATGAAGAAATGCAATATATAATTTCATAAAAATAATATCAGGTAGGACTGTGGTCAAGAGAAAAAATAAGTTGAGGTGGTAGAGCATAAAGAGAGGTATTATAAATAAGTTAATTTTCTGAGGAAATATAATTAGATTTATCAAGTAACACGTATTTGCAGAAAATTGAGTTATATCAGGAGGTCTTTTTTTTTTTATTTTTTATTTTTTAATTTATTTCCAGTGGTTAGTACCTTGCACATAGCAGAAAGTTGGTAAATGACTAATAAATGACCTGTAAGAGTTGGATAGGGCCATAGAATAAGTAAACAGAAGGTACTGTCAAGTTTTAGACTTGAGGTGTGTGATTCAGGTAGAGAAGTCATCCATTCAAAAGAAAAAATAAAAAAATGAATGAATACAGTATAACATGATGTAAGCATCCATAATTTCAGTCCATCAAGGTACATTTCTTAGAGGCACTAGATATTTTTTTTTTTAGCAAACATACGTAATATACATATGGAAAAATGCAAAAATTATGCGTGATGATTTTTATAAAGAGAACACACACTTGTATTGGTGTCTAACCATTACTAGCATCCCAGAGCTCTCCTTGTACCCTCTTCTAGTTACTATTCCTAAGGGAATTACTCTCCTTATAATATCATAGATTAGTTTGCCTGTTTTTGAAATTTGTGTAATTTAATTTTATAGTATTATCTCTTTTGTGTCTTTTTTCATTGAATATTATGTTTATAAGATTTGATCAATATTGATATTTTAGTCTATTTTTTCATTGCTCTCTAGTATTTCATTAGGTGAATATATTACAACTTACCTGTTCTGCTGTTCATAGGCAATTCGTTAGTTTCATGTTTTTGGCTATACAAGCTAGACTTGTACTTGTTTTTGGTAAATGTATGTGTGCATTTTGGTTAGCATGTATACCCAGTCGTGCAATTGCAGTGTTGTAGTATATCCATACGAGTATGTTTATCTTTAGTAAATACTGACACATTTTTCCTACTTTTGTACCAGTTTACATTTCCATGAGCAGTGTATGAAAATTTGGGTTATTCCACATTGTCATCAGCACTTTGTATTTTTTAATTTTTTTAATTTATGTTATGTCAATAGGTGTGTTATTGAATTCAACACCAGTTCATGATGAAAACACTTGGACAACTAGGAATATAAGGAAACTTGCTTATTCTGATAAAGAATATCTTCAAAAATATTAAAGCAAGTCTCATATTTGAAAGTTTCCCCCTGAAATTAGGAATGTAACAAGGATGCTCATTTTCACCACTTGTACTAAGCATTGTACAGGAGGTCCTCTTCGTACAATAAGTAAAGACAAAAAAACTAAAAGCATACCAATCAGAAAGGAATTAATAAAACTGTCATTATTGATAGATGACCTTACTGTATATGTAAAATATGTGACACAATCTATGGAAAAACTGAAGAATTAGTAAGAAAATTTAAAGAGGTTGTTTAATAAAGGTCAATATGCAAAAATTAATTTCGTTATTATATACCAGCAGTGACCAAATGGGATTTTGATTGCTATTGAATTGAATCTACAGATCAGTTATGGGGATTTCACATTTTCATGATATTCATGTTTCTGATCCATTAGCTTAATCTAATGCCCCATTATTCTTTAATTTCTCTTAATAGTATTTTATAGTTTTCAGTGTACAGATCTTTCATAAATTTTGTTAATTTATCCCCAAATTTTTCATGCTTTTTGATGGTTTTGTATTTTTTTGTTCCAATTTTCAGTTTGCTGCTACAATAGAAATACAATTGATTTTTGTATGTTGATCTTGTTCCCTGCACCTTGCTTATCTCTCTTATTATTTCTAGTAACTTTTGTAGATTCCTTAATATTTTTTGCATAGAGTATTATGTCATATGTGAATTTAGGCAGTTTTATTTCTTTTTCCCAACCTGTAAGCCTTTTGTTCATTTCCAGTACTGTGTTAAATAGCAGTGGTAAGATCATGCATCTTTTTTTTTCTTCCAATCTATGGGCAAAAACATTTGGTCATTTACCAGTAAGTATGATGTTATCTTTTACCAGTAAGTTTTATTTTTTTATAGATGCTCTTTATTAGGTTAGGGAAGTTCCCTTCAATTCCTGCTTTGTTGAGAGTTTTATCATGATTGGCTATTGGGTTTTGTTAAATGTATTGTCTGCTTCTATGATGGTATAGTTTCTCATTTTAGTCTAACATGTAGTTTGCATTGATTGATTATGGGATGTTAAACCAATTTTGCATTCTTGAGATGAATTCTACTTCATCCTGATATATTATCCTTTATGTATATATTGCTGTGTTTGATTTACTAATATTTTGTTAAAGATTTTGCATCTATGTTTATGAAGGATGTTGGTCTGAAGCTTGCAATGATTTTTACTAGTTTTGATGTCAGTATAAGGCTGTCCTCGTGAGAGGAGTTGTTAAATGGTCCCTTCTCTTCTATTTTCTGGAAGAGATTGTAGAATTGTTATTATTTCTTCATTAAATGTTTGTAGAATTCACCAGCAATGCCAGCTATGCTGGAGATATTTTTATGGGGTAGCTTTTAACACTAAGTTCAATGTCTTCAATTAATAGAAGACTGCTCAGGTTATCTGTTTGTCTTAAATAAGCTTTGGTAGTTTATGTTTGTAAAGGAAGTTATCCATTTCATCTAAGTTGCCAAATATATTGACATAAAGTTGCTCATAATATTCCTTTTAATACCCTTTTAATATTGGTAGGGTTTGCAGTGATATCTCATTTCTCATTTTGGGTTTGGTGATTTGTGACTATTCTCTTTTATTTATTATTCTTTCCTGATTATTTCTGACTAGACTTTTACTTTATTAATCTTTACAAGTGTCAGCTTTTTGTTGATTTTCTGTATTTTTCAGTTTTCAGTAACATTTTCTTCTGTTAATGTACTATTAATCCCATTCAGTTTACTATTAACTTTCAATATTAAATTTTTTAACTCTAAAAGTTCCACTTCCGCTTGAGTCTTTTTCATATCTTCCATTTTTCTTCTCATTGTGTTCATGTTTTCCAACTATTCTAGCATCTTTTCTGCTAATTCTGTTACCTTTGTCATTTCTGGATTCTTTTCTGTTGTTTTTTTTTTTTTTTTTTCCTGCTTGTTTTGTGCTTGTTCTTCCTTTTTGCATACCTGGCAATTTTTGTCTGGATGCTGGACGTTTAGAATTTTATGTTATCAAATGTTGGATTTGTCATCCTTTAAATATTATTTGTTTTTGTTTGGGATACATTAAATTTTCTTGGAATCAATTTGACCGGCTTTGTTAGGATGAGTCCAAAGTAGTCTTTATTTGGGAACTAATTTAGCCTCATCACTAAGGAAATCCCTTTTGAGGATTCTACTGTATACTCTGTATATGAGGAAGTCTTTCCACTCTAGTTGGTTGGAACCAGAACAATTCCCAGCCCTGTGTGAATCTCAGTATTGCTTTGCCCCTTCCTTTCAGGTGGCTTTTCCCTTTCCCAGTGTACTTGGTGCTCATACTTGTGGAGATGAGTCCTTGGCCTAATATGTAAGGGCACCCCTCTAAAGATGTTCAGAGGACTCACTATGCAGCTCTCTTCTTTTCAGTACTCTGCCCTGAAAATTTTAGTCACCATGGTTTCCTCAGACTCTGACCTCTTCTTAACTCAGTAAGACTGCTGACCATTGTTTGGATTCTACCTCCATTTTCTGCTGCCTGGAAACTCCAGGAAGCAAGCTAGGGTTCTTTGTTTTACTTCTGAGATAACTTTCCTGCACTTCATATCTAATATCTGAAAACTGTCGTTTCATTTTTTTTTTTCTTTTTCTTTTTTTTTTTTTTTTTTTTTTTTTTTTTTTTTTTTTTTCTTGATTTTCTAGTTGTCTTAAGGCTGGAGAATAAATGCAGTCTCTGTTACTCCATGATGGTCTGAAACAGAAGTTTGATGGGTCTTTTAAGACATTAAAGAAGTGTATTCAGTTTTGATTAGTAGCCTCTGTGTTTTTGTGCTTGAGGAACAATAAGGCTTAATTTGTATATATATATATTTATTTTGAAGGGTTGGATTAAAGACGTAAGCGAAAGGAGCAATAGGCAGCTATGTAGTAGTTGTTTCATTGCTAGGTGCCACTAGACCTGACAGAGTGGCAGATTCTAAGTCACATAACAGAGACTGGAGATGTTGGAAAGATCTTTCATATGCTCCATAGGTAGATGTATGAAAATCTAATAAGAGAGTTTCTTGGAATACTTGAATGTTTGAAAACTGATATGAACAAGACTTCTCTCAGATGATATAATTGAGTCTTAGCATTTGGCCCTGCTATAGTGGTTACAGGAGGTGACCTCTGAAGAATGAGGATTATGGAAATTCTGTCCCAAGGCTTAGAAGATCTCAATGAGGTTACAGAACTTGGCAACATCCCCCTCAAACAGTTATAGTGACTTGGCCAGGATGCACCATTATTTAGAAGGATTGATTATCAATTCACTTGTGGGATTTGTCCCCTGCCCTGCCTCTGTTATATCAAGTACTTATTGAACATCTTTAATGAACCTATTGCTAAGTTAAGTGCTGGCCTGCTCTTGGACACTTCCAATTATTGAAGGTTTGCTAAATGGCACTTGGTTTTAAGTGTTTACTGCAGTCTGGTTGATTAAGATGCCAGTTTGAAAAGAACTTGGTTCATGTTTTAAGATTGTGTTAGGGATAAAAGTAGTAATATATTAAAGTCTTTTGGGCACTTAACAGCTTTGATATTTTCATTTTTAAAATGGTGCATGTTAGAATGAAGCCCTAGTGTATTACTGTACATCACTGATATATCTTGTGGGGACTGATATCATTTAAAGGACTCAGTATTTTAAGTATGCTTCTGTAACTCAGTAATCTCTTGTAATTTTTGTTTTGTAAATTTAAATTTTTTATTTATTTCAGAATTCCTTAGGTTTTAGTGCTGGAGATTTTGGATTTGTCATTTTAAATAAGGAAGAAAGTTATGTGTATGCAAAATCTAGTCTAATGAATTGACAGTGTTTGTTGATTGTTAGTGAAATTTCTTTGTAGTCTAGTTATTTCATTAAGGTTTCACCTAGACAAGTGTGGTCTTTTCTCTTAGCACCCATGTATTGAAGAATAAAGGGGCAGAATGTGTGTTGTTAAAGACCCAGCTGTGATTTTGACAAAGAAAATTTGTGGGGAAATAATGAATGAACAATGTAAGAGACTCTGCACTAAAACTGTATATTACTAAAGTTTATCATCAGTAAAAATGAAATATTTGGGTGTGATCTGTCAGGTACTTTTAAATAAAATAATTAGTATTTATTCAATTTCTTTTAGTTATAAATGTGGAAAAACAAATAGTAGAAGGTGGCTATTATGTGCTGTTCACGTGATGTTTAGCATGTTCTAGTTGAAACTTATTATTTTGATTTTAATGTGTAGTAGCATTCTGTACATTATTTTTGCAATACCTGAGGTATTAGAGCAAACTAAAAGTAAATTATAAACATTTTAATTACTTTCTTCATAATTACATTTTGAAGTAATATAGTTTTAAAATGTAGTTGTCACTAATTTTCTCATTTGTATAAAACTCTCTGAAATGGTTTTCTGTGTGTTTTGTGTTTTTCTCTACAGAAAAAGAAAATTGAAATTCAGAGGTCAACACCATCAATGTATTATTTTTCAGAAAATTAGCAAAGGACTGTGTGGAAGTTTTCTATGAAGGGGTAAAATCTTTTTATATTACTTGTTGTTTTGGAAGTAGATTTAGAATTATTGATCATGCTGTATTCATCATACAGACTTTTTTTTTGCGATTTGTCATATATTTTCTGGTATGTATAAAAATGATACTTTAAAAAAGTAACATCTGTAAAATGGCCACAGTCCTAAGTAGTCATTAAGACTGATTATTGATATAAAAAGGAACAATTTCTCCTGTCACTTCATTTTAATTTTAGTATTAAACAGAATGTCTCGAAGATATAATTAATTTTAAAAGATTCTAATTAAGAAATAATATAAGCTGTAACTCTCTATATGTATGTAATATTTTCTTAATAGTTTTAAAAACACATGTCTGCTAACTCCTCAACACAATAATAGCAAACTTTATCCAACAGCCTATGAAAAAGATTAGACACCATGACCAAGTAGGATTTTTCCCAGAAATGTAAGGATGGTTGAACATAAAATAAATCATTGCAATACATCATGTTAATAGAACAAAGGGGAGAAAAAAAACACATGATCATATCAGTTGATGCAGAAAGGATATATGGCAAAATCTAACACCTTTCGTTATAAAAACACTGAGAAAGCTAGTCATAGAATGGAACTTTCTCAACATTATAGGGCATTTGTGAAAAACTCGTGGCTAACATCATACTTAGTGGTGGCAAACTAAAAGCTTTCTTTTAAGATCAGGAACAAGATAAGGATGCCTGCCTTTACCACTGCTGTTCAACATTATACTAGGAGTTCCAACCAGAGCAGTTAGATTAAAAAAATAAATAAATAAAAGACATCCAAATTGGAAAGGAAGAGCTAAAACTATCTTTATTCACAAATGATATGATCATATATATAGAAAATCCCAAAAAATCCAACAAAAAGCAACTAGAGCTAATAAATGAATTCAGCAGTGTTGCAGGGTACAAGATCAACATACAAAAATCAGTTGTTTCCATACATTTGCAATGAACAATCTGAGGAGGAAAGAAAGAAAATAGTTTCATTTATAATAGCATCTAAAGGAATAAACACCTAGGATAAATTTAGTCAAAGAAGTGAAAGACTTTTACACAGAAAACTAAAACACATTGCCAAAAGAAATTTAAAAATATCTAAATAAAAGGAAATACATTTCTTGTTATTCTGCTTAATATGTGAAACTGTCAGTACTACCCAAAGTGATCTGTAGATTCAAGATAATCCCTATCAAAATTCCAAAACTTTTTTGCAGAAATGGAAAAGCCAGCCCCCAAATTCTTATGGAATTTGAAGGGGCTCAAATAGCTAAAACAAACTTAAAAAAGAAGAACAAAGTCTGGAGACCCATGCTTCCCAATTTCAAAACTTAGTACATTGCTACAGTAATCAAAATAGTGTGGTACTGGCATAAGGATAGACATAGGTACCAATGGAATAGAATTGAGTCAAGGAATCAACCCATAAACATACTCCCATGGCATATTAATTTTGAGAAAGATGCCAAGTTCACTCAGTGGGGAAAACTGTTAAATAAGAAAAAAAAGTAAAAGACATCCAAATTAGAAAGGAAGAAGTAAAATTATCTCTGTATTCACAAATGACCATTTGTCTTTTGAACAAATGATGTTGAGACAACTGGACTTACAGGTGCAAAGAATGAAGTATCCTTACTTTAAACATGTATACAGAATTAAAAAAAAATTTTAACTCAGAATGAATGAAGGACCTAAGTGGATCAAGCATCACAATGAATCAAGAACTAAATCCATAAAACCCTTAGAAGAAGACAGTGATAAATCTTCACGAGCTTGGATTTGGCAATGGATTCTTAAAATATAGCACTAAAAACATGAGCAACAAAAGAAAAATAGATAAATTGGACTTAATCAAAAATTAAAAATTTTGTACACTGGAGTATATTTTGCAACTGAAAAGGCAATCTGCATAATCGAAGATATTTGCAAATCATATATCTAATAGGGAATTGCTATCCATTATATATAAAGAACTTAAACTCAGCAACAAAAAGATAATCCAATTAAAAAACAGACCAGTGCTTTGAATAAATATTTCATCAAAGAAGATATGCAAATAGCCAATAAGCATGTGAAAAAGATGCTGAGCATCATTAGTCATTAGAGAAGTGCAAATGAAAACCATAATGAAATGCCACTTCACACTCACTAGAATGACTATAACCAAAAAGACACACAAGAGCTAGTATTCAAGAAGATGTGGGGAAATTGGAACTCACATTTTGCTGGTGGGACAGTAGAAAATAGTTTGGCAGTTCCTCAAAAAGCTAAACACAGGATTACCATATGACCTGGCAATCCCACTTCTAGGTATATATCTCAAAGAATTGAAAACAGCTACAGAAATAGATAACTCGTATACCAGTTTTCATTGCAGCATTATTCACAATAGACAAGAAGTGGAAAACAATCCAAGTGTCCATTAATAGATGAATGGATAAACAAAATGTGGTATATGCATTTCTTTTTATTTAGCCACAAAAAGGGATGACCTTCTGATACATGGTTGAACCTTGAAAACATGCTAAGTGAAATAAGCCAGACACAAAATGATAACTATTGTTTAATTGCCCTTAAATGAATATGTAGAGAAAGCAATTTCACAGAGTCAGAAAATAGATTAGAAATTACCAAGTGCTGGGGAAATGGGAGAATGGGGAGTTATTAATTAACAGTTATACAGTTTATGTTTGGGGTCATGAAAATGTTTCGGAAATAGAGGTGATTGCTGTGTGACTTTTTGATTATTAGTAATGCCAAGTTGTACATTTACGAATGATTGAAATTGCAAGTTTTAAGTTATTTCTATTTTGCCTAAATAAGAGAAATACACACCTGCTACACAACATTTCGGCAACACAGATATATAATTGAAAATGAGAATCTAAATGACCTAAGTTCTCTGGAGTAACATTGTCCAATAGAACTATTTGCAGTGATATGAATGTTCTATCGCACTGCCAATATGGTAGTCACTAGTCATATATGGCTAACAAGCACTTGAAATGTGGCTAGTGTGGCTGAGGAACTGAGTTTTAAATTTTATATAGTTTTAATTAATTTAAATAGCCATATGTAGCTAGTTGATTTGTAATGGACAGCACATCTCCAGAGATATCTTTACAGATTGCTTCTGCAGGTGTATTAAATGCTTTAAAATTATTTTCTTTAATAATCATATGACATCTCTGATGTTAATTTGGAGATTCCCTAGATATTCGCAAAACCAAATTTGGCAGAATACTAATCTCATTCATGTATTGTTGAGACAGCAGTAAGTTTTCAAATAAGTTGTTTAGAATTAGATCTTATTTCTTAAACAGTGTTGCAGGAATAGTAGATATATGATTTTAATTCCTTTTGATTATAGTTATATTACTAACAAGTAAATGACATATGGAAAAAAACTCAGCTCTGCACAACCTTCACAGTCAAATGAGATGGTCAGTACTGTATCTTTTATTATTTATATTCATTTAGTATCGGTAAGCATTTAATAAGGACTGACATTTTACTAGATACTATACTAGACTCTGGAGAAACCAAAATGAATAAGTCATAGTGCTTGGCTTTATGGAGCTCACTGTCTAGTCAAATGGGAAATTGTTTAGTGGTGGTAACTGTAATAGCTACAGTAGCAGCCTCAGTAAACTGTGAATCTGCCTGGAGAATTTGAGAAAAGCATCTTTTTTAGAGGAATATTTTATTAGTCTTTAAACTTTTTATTATGGAAAATTTCAAACATACAGAAGTAGTGAGAATGACATAATGAATGTCGGTATACCCACTATCTGACTTCAACATTAGGCTATCTAACTTCAACAGTAAGCTATTAACTTCAACAGTAGGCTATCTAACTTCAGCATAGGCTGTCTAACTTCAACAGTAGGCTATCTAACTTCAGCAGTAGTCTAACTTCAGCACAGGCTGTCTAACTTCAGCATAGGCTGTCTTCAGCACAGGCTGTCTAACTTCAACAGTAGGCTATCTAACTTCAGCACAGGCTGTCTGACTTCAGCATAGGCTGTCTTCAGCACAGGCTGTCTAACTTCAACAGTAGGCTATCTAGCTTTAACAGGAGGCTATCTAACTTCAACAGTAGGCTATCTAACTTCAACAGTAGTCTAACTTCAGCGTAGGCTGTCTTATCTGTTTCATCATCTGCTCATTTTACTGCCACAGATTATTTTGAGGCAAACCTCAGGAATTATATAATTTAAGCCATAAAATCGCAATAAGTAAAATAGAAATACTTCTAAAATTATACATATGAGTACTGTGATAAATGAGTAAACAAATGAGTACATACCACAGTACTGTAATACTACCTAAATATTAACATCAATTTCTTCACATGAAATATCAGTGCATTCATAGATATATACCCGTTTTTCCATCTTCCTACCTATTTGTATACACACTTGCAAACACAGTTTCATGATTGCAATAAAATAATTCATCAGTAATTCCTTTATATAATCAAATATCAAGTCAGTATTTCATTTTCCCTGATTATCTCACAATTTTTTTTCTTTTTTCCCAGTTACCAAAACCTCCCTCCCTCACATTTTTTTTTTTTCTTTTGGGGAGAATGAGGAAGAGAAATCAGTTTGGAGGCTTTACAGTAATTCAAGAGCTATCCTGAATATATAAAGAACAAAACCAAAGCACTGGTGGAATTGGCATAGAATTGATTAGTTGTGCATGTTGTATGTATGTTTGGGGGTGGGGGGTTGTTTTCAGTTTTTGAGACAACAAACACCACTTAAGTCTGTAAGAACATCTGCTCCCCTAAGTTCTGAATTTGAATTTTTCAAATTCTGAACACTAATTTTTCCCACTTTTTGTCTACATTAAGTAAATATTTGAATAAAAACATCTGTTCTTGGATATTGTGTCTTCCCTATAAACTTTGTTAATCTAGTATTGTATATGTATATAATGTTCATTTGACACTATGAAATGCATTGCCTAGAAAA